AAAGTATAACACTTGTTTGTTGTATATGCATCTATGTAATAAAGATGGGTTACATCTGTTAATAAGTAATGATGTAGTATAATGCAAGTGGTCATTTTCAAGTCTTGTTAAAAAAAAACTAGTTTTTTAGAAACAAACTTTAGTATTTTCCTGAATGTCATTAAAATTTCCAGTCAGACCTTGTTTCCTGATGTATAACCTCCTCCAGTTGTTGCTGTGGAAGTCAGGGAGGGGACACGGCCCCCTCCCTGACCCACCGCAGTGGGAATTCCAGGCTACGTCAACCACAGATGGAATTGAACTCAGACTCTGCACCACTGGCGCCTTACGGTCGCAGACAATCCCACTCTGCTATGACACCTGTCACACTTTGGACTTTTCTCCGGGCGCATTTATCTTTTTGTTTCTACTACAGTTCTTGGAAAAAGATAAAAGTGGGATTTGAACCCATGAGCTTCTAGTTTTAGAGTCAAGGTTTTAACATCAATGCCACACTTGTGGACATGTGGACTTTTCTCCGGGCGCATTTATCTTTTTGTTTCTTCTTCTACAGTCGTTAGAAAAACAGAAGATCAGCTTCTGAGGGATTTGAACTCATGAGCTTCTAGTTTCAGAGCCGATGCTTTAACAATCACACCACAGGCTCTGTCACACTTTAACCTCTTCTCGTAGCGTATTTATCTTTTTGATTCTATTCTCACTTTGACATCAGTATCTGTATGGGGATTCTAAGTCTTTTAATGTTCAATTCTCTGAGAAAATATTTGAAAAGCATCAAAATGAATCACATCAACATCTATCTTCTATAAATGCACTATGACAAAAAAAATGATTTAGTAATCTTTTAAGTTGTGTAAAAAAGATAACAAAGCTGCTGCAACATCAATAATCAATTATCTGGTAATTAAAGGCTGTGAGATGAAAAGATGACCCGGATGTTTTTAGACCCGGAAACTGAACAGAACCGATCCACCTGACTTTGCCACCAGAGGGCAGTGCTTGCTCTCTGATTGGTTCCTGTGCGGGAAGGTTTTAAAAAGAGGAAAGATAAAAATGAATGTAAATGTTCTGGATCAGTTCTGTTCGGTTCTGAATGGGACCAGATTTTATAAACTATTAACACTGAAAATTGAAACCATCAGAGAGGAGAGTAAATAAAACTAAGAACAGTTGAAAGGAGGGTTCAGAATTTCTCCATTTAACACAATGATGATGATGATTTGAGTGTTAATGTTGCAAGGATCACTGGGATCCACCACAAACCAGGTCTCTATTATTTATTACGTTAAATCTGCATCTAAAGATGGTAATCTGCATCTATGGAAGGTAAGGCTACATCAATATTGAATAAATATTATGCACTTTATCTTTATGAATAATTTGTCATAATCATAAAGAATTAGATTTATCTTTTCAAGGAAGGATTTAGATGTTGATCGTTGCGGTTTCTGTGGAACACATGAGCTGACAGCAGTTCATCGTTTATAGAGATTATCACTCCACAGCCTCATTTACTCTGTTTAAATTAAATAATAAAAGCTATTCTTCTATTGCTGCCGTTTGAAATGTTTAAAGCTTCCAGTTATGGATCCGTTTGGTTTTTCTCTCCCGTTTTATCTTCTCTCCGTTACTTTGGACCAAACCTGAAGGTTCTCCATGGAGAACCGGGCTGTGCTCCAGGTGAAGGTAAACATTCCCACTCATCAGCAGAGTCAAACTTTGACCCTGCAGTCAATAACCCCCCCACCCCCCCATCAGGGATCAGACTCAGACGGACTCAGACGGACCGACTGCACGCTGCTGGATCTGGTTCTGAAGGTTCTGCTTGCAGCTGTGGATCATGGTGGAACCGACGTCCAAACCTGCCGCCGTTCTGCTGCTCTTTGTTCTGCACGGCTGTTTGGCTGAAAATGGTACCGGTACCACCTCTGTTCTTCATAACGGGCCGGTTCTGACCCATTGGACCAGATGATCAGATTCTGCTTCAGGTTAACTTTGAGGTTTAAGTTACAGAACCAGTCGGACCCGAACCGAAGCAGCTGAGCCTCATCAGACTCAGATTAATAATCTCTAGTCTGTCTGCAGATTATGGTTCTGGTTGTTTCCTCAGTAGGTTCTGAACTTTCCAGTGGGACAGTTAAAAGTTTGCAGCGGAACCAGGTTTTCCAGTTCAGAAAGCCAGAGCTTCAATTTCTTTTCATCTTTTTCCATATTTTCCCAGTTTTCCTGGACAGGCAGCTGGCGGCTCAGGTGCTGACCCGAACCCGGCGAGCCAATCAGGTGCTGTCGTTATGGGAGGAGTCCAAACCAGGTGAGTCATCCTGACCCGACAGGACCGGCTCCACCCTTAAAGGAGAAAGGAGTCTGGTCTTTAGATCCGGAAGAACATCCCATAATAAGCAGCCTGAGCTTTAGAAAAACCTCAGATTAACGTTTAGAGAAAATTAAGCAGTTTCCTTTAAATCTATGAATAAATGGGACATTTGTACGACTGAGAATTAGGGCTTTTGAGAATAAAGTCACAGGATTACAAGAATAAAGTCGCAACGAAAATAGTCATA